CAGCCAGCACAGCTGGCTGGGGGATTCTGGGAATTAAAGTCCACTCATCTTAAAGTGGCCAAGGTTGAGAAACACTGTTCTATAGTCTATATTCAATCTATATATACCAACATCTGCATGAAAGAGTCTTTTTTTACCATGACGGATACAGCTGAGCCATTGTAGGACCACCAAATTCTGGGAACTTTCCTTTCTTGCAATCTAGGCCCAGCCAACTCACCCATGCAGGATCCATGCCTGTCAGGCTCGTAGCCCTGGGAGCAAGCGTGGGGTCGGTTCGAAGGCTGGGGCGGCAGGCGAGGTCTCGGCCTGGGAGGGCTGGCGGGGGGGGGCCTTTCGGCATTCACATCGTTGATGACAGAGGCCGAACGGGGCAGGCAGAGGTATCCACCGTAATGGTTGATGCATTTCATTTCTCCTTTGCAGGCGTGGTGGATGGTCTCGCATTCGTTAATATCTGGGGGGCAGGAGAGAGCGTCAGAGGACTGGCGGAGATCCCGGTTGGCTGCTTTCGCCAGTTCTAACCTGCTACCCCGTTCACACGACCCGCTAAACCGATGAGCCGATGGAGTCATTTCCTCCGTTTGCACGACACACCGAACTTCAGACTAACTTCACGGGCTGGATGGATGCAAAGCCACAAACTCACCCGGGTCAAACTTTGCCAAGCTTTGTGCCGCTCAGTTATTTACCAATCTGGTTGTGGGGACCCAGGCCTGGTGAAATTTGGCAGATGGGCCTCGTCCTGGCATCGGCACAGGGGGACAGATTGGAGGACTCCTTGAAAAACCCACCCTTTTCCGTTGGGTTTTTTTTTCCTCCAAGCTGTGAACTCACCAGCCCCATTCGCACAACCACTTAACCCCGTAATTGGGCAGCTGCGCGGAGGCTGAATGCTGTTTTTCACTGGCAGGCGGGCAAGGTCGTACCTTTGCAGTGCTGACTTTCAGAGTCCCACTGATAGCCGTCGGTGCATTCCTGGGGCGGGGGAGAAATTGGGAAAGTTTGAAACAAATTGATCAGATCTTTGGATCTAGGGCCGGACTGCAGCCATTTCTATCCTAAAAGATGGGGGGGGGCTTTTTAATACCCGCTCCTCTTTGTCTGACAAGGCCATCCCTGACGGGTTCAGATGACTAGGAGAGGCGCCCTCTGCACATGCCCAGAGTTCCCTTTAGTTCTTCCAAGGGGATGGACACGGTTTTTAGATGTGAGCTGGGCTTCCTTGATTGTAAGGGGAAAGCACTCTGCACTTTCTCAGGGGCATCTGTACTTTGTCCTCCCCTCCCACGCCCCAACTATCCCTACTTCTGTTTGAACCTGACAGATCCTAGTTTGGATCCACAGCCCTGGAGACAGATGATAGATAGATAGATAGATAGATAGATAGATAGATAGATAGATAGATAGATA